CTGGCTTTATTTTCATTTTCAATTTTCTTTCTTTTTTAGTTTATTAGATTTTTGCAGTTCATAATGATCACATTCATTGTAGGGAACTTCTCCATGTATATAACACATTTCAGGTCTCTTCCCCTTTCTCTTCTATCCCTTTTATTTTGTGAGCATCAGATTCAGTCATTTATAAGCCATTATAAAGCTAATTATCATATATACAGATTAACAACCATACTAATAGGCCAGAATCCAATAAGACAACTGTACTGAATCTGAGTGCACTCTTCGATATATTGTCCACGTGGTATATTTGTCTCTCATTATTATCACTGTCTTTAACTTTTTCTTCCATTTGTTCTCCCTTATGTCTCTTCTTCCTCAATGTTAATTTTTTTCTTTTTCATTCTACTACTCTGACTTTTGTGGTCTCCCCTTCCTATTGCTATTTTTCTCTGCCCCATGCTTCCTAGCTATTTGTTGTGTGGCTTTCTTGTGAAGGTGAAGTTCACCTGGTGAGAGTTGATGTGCCGTGTTTTACATTCTTACTATTTGCATGAAAATCCTTTCTATCCCAACTGAAGCCAAACTTTCCTCACATAGTTAACCTGATGCAGATGGAAGCTAACCCTAATTGCACTGACTTCTATGCTATAACTCTAATCCTCAGGTAAAGTTTCTGAACTATTTCCAAAACATGGAAGGATCCTTACAAAAGAGTGTTCATGGCAGCATTGTTCATGAAAGCCTAGAACTATAAACAAAGCAGATAACCACAATTAGAGACATAATTATTTGGTGGAATAGTATACAGTAGGGAGAATTAATGTTCTATACATTATTTTTGGATAATATAACTTTGCAAGAAGATAAAGCACAAAGAGAAAAATAATTTTATCTTTTGCAGTTCGAAAAACAGGTTTTAGAACTCAGGACAGTGATTAAGATTGGGACAGTGATAGCAGGAGGATAAGAGGGCTTCTGGGGCCTGGTTATGTTCTACCTGTTGATCTGGGTGTGGGCTAACTGGTATATTTGTTTTGTGAAAGTTCTTCAAGCAGTACATTATGGTTTGTATCCTTTTGTATGTATGCTGTACTGCTATATGGGAAAGAAACGCCCACGCTGAAAGATACCTGGAATGAGTTCATGTTCTCTAAAATTGAAGGATGAATTTTAGAAACAACAGAGGTTAAGAGCAGAATATATTTATTGGAAGAAAGCAAGTGTCTGTTTGAGAGAGGGACAGAAGGGGCCATGAGTGGGTTGCCAATCCTGCTTTTTTCTAGGATTTGTATAGAGCAAATCCACAAGGTGAAGCAGGTCTAAGGTGAGAAACGTGGAAACTCGCTAGGTGTCTTTTGTCTTGAGATCTGGCCCACAGTAGAAGAGCTATCTCTACCACAGTTTCAAGGTATCTCCTCTTCTGCACTGGCTCCCTAGAGGACCCAGCCCTGTCTGACAGCCTATCATATTCCTATCCAATTCAGCTGCCTACCACAGTACTACTATGAAAAGCTTGCTTAAAATGAAAGCCATTGTTTGCTTTCTGCTGGTGGACACCAAGGAGAAAGCATTGTCAGTCTCTTTTCCAATTGCCATCATGTCTAAGTGAGAGTCTCCTAAGGAGCCAGAACAGCCACGGAAGCTCTTCATTGGAGGGCTGAGTTTTGAAACAACTGATGAGAGCCATTTTGAACAATGGCGAACACTCACAGACTGGGTGGTTATGAGGGAGCCAAACAACAAACATTCCAGGGACTTCCGGTTTGTCATTTATGCCACTGTGGAGGAGGTAGATGCAGCCATGAAGGCAAGGCCACACAAAGTAAATGGAAGAGTTGTGGAAACTCTTTAGAGCGCTCTCTAAAGATTCTCAAAGACCTGGTGTCTACTTAATGGTGAAGAAGATCTTTGTTGGTGGCATTAAAGAAGATACTGAAGAACATCACCTACGAGATTATTTTTAACAATATGGAAAAATCGAAGTGATTGAAATTATGACCAATCAAAGCAGTGGAAAGAAGAGGGGCTTTGCTTTTATAACTTTTTATGACCTTGATTCTGTAGATAAGACTGTCATTCAAAAATACCACACTGTGAATGGCCACAACTGCGAAGTAAGGAAGCCCTGTCAAAGCCAGAGAGTGCTACTTCTAGCCAAAGAAGTCAGAGTAGTTCTGGAAATTTTGGTGGTGGTCGTGGAGGTGGTTTTGGTGGCGGAGGAAACTTCAGTGGTCAAGATGCCTTTGGTCACAGCCTTGGTGAAGGTGGATATGGTGGCAGTGGAGATGGCCACAATGGATTTGGTAATGATGGAAGCAATTATGAAGGTGGTGGAAGCTATAATGAATCTGAGAATTACAACAGTCTTCAGATTTTGGACCCATTAAGGGAGGAAATTTTGGAGGTACAAGCTCTGGGCCCTATGGTGGTGGAGGCCAATATTTTACCAAACCATGAAATCAAGGTGGCTATGGTGGTTCCAGCAGCAGCAGTAGCTATGACAGTGGCAGAAGGTTTTAAATACTTCCAGGAAACAAAGCTAAGCAGGAAAGGAGAGCCTGAGAAGTGACAGGGAAGCTACAGGTTACAACCAATTTGTGAACTCAGCCAAGCACAATGGTGGCAGGGCCCTAATTGCTACAAAGAAGACATGTTTTAGACAGTACTCATGTGTATGGGCAAAAAACTCAAGGACTGGATTTATGATTAATTGTATAACAGGTTATTTTAGTTTCTGTTCTGTGGAAAGTGTAAAGCATTCCAACCAAGTGTTTTCATGTAGACCTTCTTTTGCATCCAAGCTGTTGATTGCTAAATGTAATAGTTTGATCATGACACTGAATAAATTTGTCTTAAAAAAACAATGAAAGTCATTGTATGAAAATAAGCTGGAAGTATTTGGGTAAAAATTACAAGATTTAACTGAGATTTGTGAGTAACATTGTTTATTGCACTAGTAAATCTATAAAAATAAATTATGTACAGATAAATGGAAGTGGGCCTGTAAAGAGTACATCACAATGGTGACTGATAAAAGTAATGGCAAATTTGGAATGTAGGATTTTCCAAACATTTGCTGCTTTCTAGGTATAGCTTAAAAGGCAACTTTACATTTATTTAAAATTATCTGTAAATATTTTCATATGTACATGATTTTATTTTCCACTTGCTCTTGACATACTAGAATTCACAATACTAGAATCATATCCTACAGGTTAAAAAAATACCAAAAGATAACTTTAATTACAAGTAAGATTTCCACAGACAATACAGAATAAAAGTGTACTTACTATTCACAAAATAGAGCAGAGAAAGAGTGTTTCTGTGTGCATGTGAAACAAGCCAGACCGAGGTCTTCTGTAGTTACAGATGGACCCAGGATTCTATAAAGCCTCATCTTATTGTAAAAAGGAACTTTGGTATTTCAGTTTTTAAAAATGAACAGTGCATATTTCCTCTTTTGGACAGAGGTATTCATGTACTTTCCCTAAGTCTATTACATTCACTCTTCAGAGGTGTGATCTTTTGCCATTATAAGTAGGCACCACTATGAAAAGAAAATGGCATTATAATCCTGGTTGTGCCATGACCAGATATAACCAGAACTTAGGATCCATTCACTTGATATAATCACTGATCATATTCCTTCAGAACTGAACACGGAGTATCTGATTATATTTAAGAAGAAACCAAAAATCAGACAGTCTAACCTGAGATAGCCAGATACATTTTGGGATTTCACATACCTGTGCCAAAGGGGCGTACAATTCACAATAAAGCAAGACATTGTTTCACCTAAGGATCTGGGTACTTATTTTTCCTCTAGAAGTGAAATACAATTTGACATTAAATATGTGGGGATAGTCCACAAGATCAAGGCAAATATAGTATAAAATACCTAGAAATTGTTGGCACTCATAAAAGTAAAGCTAATGTATAAAATTAAATTTTCTTGCTTAAAATATGATTTTTATAGGGATATATTTCCAGTAGGTATTCCAAGCCTAATTTTTCTCTTGATACTAAGCTCATTTTTGTTTTTAAAAAACTTACTTTAAATATAGACTACTATACACAATTTATTTTTTAGCTGTTTTTGAAAAGTCAGAATTCAGTTAAAAATTGTCTTACATACTGCTAAATATTTAGGAAAAATGTAAGCTCATTTACATCGCCCATGGTCCTGTACCGAAATTGTTTTTGCTCAAAATAG